AGCCAACCGTCTTCTCTCTTCCAGCATAGCTTACTTCGCAGGGTTGTTGTGAGGATATTACCAGAGAAGGGAATAGCATGCATGCCAGCCAAAGCTCCTTAGAACAGGGGTGTCAAACTCCTTTGTTATGAGGGTCGGATCTGACATAAATGAGACCTTGTCGGGCCAGGCCACGCGTGTCACAAAATGGGATGCCAGGTAACGGAAATATAAACTTTATAAAGGGCACAAACACAAAGGTGTTTTTTTTACTTAAAATAAAAACATGATTAAAAAACATTTGCACTCTTGCAATATTTTGTTTATGTAACAGTGTTTGATAACTGACACCTCTTGCTCTGAATTGTTGCATCAAAATGTCTGTGCTCTTGCAATCTTATGCTGTTCAGGTGTGTATCTGCTGCAAACGTATGATGATGCAGCAGCAGTAGAACTGGAAGAAGAAACAGAAGACAGCCAGTTCCACTGCGGGCCTGATAGAAGCCCTCTGGGGGCCTGATCCGGCTCCTGGGCCGCATGTTTGACACCCCTGCCTTAGAAGAACGCTGGTCTTTTAAAAAAAATGATCAGTAGAATAGATGCCAGCTCTTGTGGTTTGAATTTGGCTGTGGGATTGTTTAGTGTTTCAAATGAATCTTTGTAAGATCTGCCTTAAAAGTAATAGCTGATCATCCAAAACTTACCTTGCATTTTATTTTACTGTGCTGAAACTTGGAAACTTAACAGGTGCCCTGGTCACATAGGCCACATAACACGGGGGGGGGGGAGGCGTGGCTGTTCGCCCCTGAGCAAAGTAAAGTGCGGTAGCCCGATCACACGGTTCCCCGAGTCTCCGTGCTCCGGCTGTTAGCTGGCGATCACCCGGCGATGCTGCAGCATGGCAAAGAAGCGGCGCGGCGCGATCACACAAACGTTTCACGTTTGTGCGCATGCACAGTTCTGTGGAGCAGCACTGCTTTCAGTTTCCTGTTTGTGCACATGCGCTTGCGAAAAACATCCGGTTTGCGACAGGACGTGAACGGGCGCTGGATGCCACGGGAGACTAGAGCTCCCGTAATCAGACGCCCGCCTGTGCCACGCGTTTCCCGCATACTAGACAGTGGAGAGAGGCTAAAACAGAAGAAAGACTTCTTGAAAAGCATGAATGAATTCACTTTGAAACAAAACAAAAACTCTTAAGTCTGCTCTGCGTAGGGCAGTGCAAAGGTGTGTGGAGTCAGGATGCAATCCACACTATGCCATGGAGTTCATTGTATGGCTTCTAGAAGGCCATGTGCCCTCATCCAGGCCTACATCACAGGGTTTTTTTGCTAAGAGATTTAATTTTTTTTAAATGCTAAATTAGAACCCAAGACTGCTTTGGGAGCCTGGAAGAAGAGGGCAAGACGCTTCCCAATAAAGCAACACGTCCAGTCTGTAAGAAAAGTGCAGCCAAGGTCTTTAATGAACAATTCAAGAACAAGGTCTTTAACGAACAATTACTGGGGGGAAGCGCTTTTAAATAGCTTAGGAGAAGGAGTGCGACCTGCCTCCGAACTTACAGTTCATTGTCTTCAACGCTGAGGAAAGCTATCAAAGGCATGTGTGAACTCAAACAATCGTGTGCGGCTAAATCCTTGCCAATCTTATGCAGACCTCAAGTGCTCATGGGAGAGGCCTCGGCCCAGTAGTAGATCCTAGAGAGACAGGCGGTTCCACTCATATCCTGCTCTCCAGTCGCAAGCAGGGAACAAATTTTTCAGTGGGCTGTTCGGGAGCAGCTGAAGCCTGTTTTGCAGGCCGCTTTTTCAACATGTTCTAAAAAGTCCGGTGCGATCAGCAGCGTGTTGCCCATGTGCAGTTTTGGTTTTTTTTGCAAATTCTACTGTTTCCAGATCCGTCGCCTCTGCTTGCCGGTTTATATAGCCAGTTGTTTAAACAGAGCGAGCATAGCTGTCGTTCTGCTCATGAGCCAGTCATAAGCCAGTCGTCTCTGCTTGCCGGTTTATATAGCCAGTTGTTTAAACAGAGCGAGCATAGCTGTCGTTCTGCTCATGAGCCAGTCATAAGCACTGTGCTTGCCGGTTTATATAGCCAGTTGTTTAAACAGAGTGAGCATAGCTGTCGTTCTGCTCATGAGCCAGTCATAAGCACTATGCTTGCCGGTTTAGATAGCCAGTTGTTTAAACAGAGTGAGCATAGCTGTCGTTCTGCTCATGAGCCAGTCATAAGCGCTGTGCTTGCCGGTTTAGATAGCCAGTTGTTTAAACAGAGTGAGCATAGCTGTCGTTCTGCTCATGAGCCAGTCATAAGCACTGTGCTTGCCGGTTTAGATAGCCAGTTGTTTAAACAGAGTGAGCATAGCTGTCGTTCTGCTCATGAGCCAGTCATAAGCACTGTGCTTGCCGGTTTAGATAGCCAGTTGTTTAAACAGAGTGAGCATAGCTCTCGTTCTGCTCATGAGCCAGTCATAAGCACTGTGTAGTTATTTTTTAAAAATGGTTATTGTTTGATGTTCATCTGTGTTTGGTGTATTGCTGTTAATGGCTTGTCAGTCTGTTTGGACGGGCAGTGTTTTGCACAAACACATTTTTTTTTGCAAAGCTCAGTGGAATCTGGACGGGCTGAATACTGCACTTCCAGTCCGTTTTCTTTGCACCTTTAGTGGTCATTTGCAAGTGGTATTTTGCCATTTCAGATCATAAAATCCAGTTGCAAAGTGCATTGAAAGTAGATTGGAAGTTCATTATTCGGCTTGTCTGGAGCACCTGTAAGTTTTGCTCTCTACCCTCCCCCACAGACCAGTTGTGCTACACACTCTTCCACAGGCCATTCTTGAATGAGACAGAAGTCAGCACCCACAGCTACTGCGCGTCCACAAACCTGTTCAGCCGCTGATCCAGTGGGATGGTGGAAGGCCATGGAGATCTAGGGCTCAGGTCACGTGCGATTGTCCAAAATAATATGTTCTCTGGACAAAGTTTAGGGCTTAGCTCATGTCTGATTGCCTAAAATGGTATGTCCTCCTGCCAGAGTTCTCCGCATTCCTCACAGGGCCCTTGCTTTGCATGCAGAAAGACCCGGGGGGTCTATCTGTGGCATCTCCATCCCCCAAAATCTCAGAGGCATCCCAGAGAACCACACGTAGGCCAAGTGGACCCATGATCTGACTCTGCATAAAACAGCCATAAGCTGGCTGCGATATG